ATTGTTGAACTCTTAGGCTGATTCCATTTTTTACCTATTGTAAATTGTGCTGCAATAAAAAAGGGGTACAAATATCTGTTTGGTATACTGACTTCAGTTCCTTTTGGAGATGTGCATTAATAGGCCAGACACAGAAACACAAATACTGCATGATCTCACTCATAAGTGAAATTTTAATAAAGGCTAATATCATAGAAGTAGATAGTAGAACAGTGGTTACTAGAGACTAGGGAGGGGAGGGAAGAGAAAAAATGGGTAGAAGTTGGTCAACAGGTACAAAGTTACAATGAAATAATAAGAAGATGTTTTGCTGCTTTATTGCATAACAGAGTGACTATGCTTAAGAAGTAAGGTGCTGTATATTATAAAATGGCTAGAAGAAATGATTTTGAATGTTCTTTCCACAAAGAAATAATAAAGGTGTGAGGTTGTAAATATACTAACTACCCCAATTAGATCATTATACAATATGGATATGTTTCAGAAATGTCAAATTATACTCAATAAATATGTACCATTATAATGTGTCAACTAAAACAAAACTGGGTAATAATAGACCTTTATAAATTTCAGGCTTGTTAAGAATTGTATCAAATCTTTATGGATGTAAGTACTATAGAAATGCCAAGAATTGCTTACTTATAAGGTAGTATCATTCAAAAAATTTTCACTATAATTTTAAGTAATATTTATGTCTAATTAAGTACTATTAAATATCTAATTAAATATCAATATTTGATTATTTTAAGGGAAAGCATTATGTTAATGTATCATAATGTGGAGAAATACATATTTACTCTTTGATCAAAATAAATACTTATATATTAATAAATATCCACAAATTAAAGGTTGAGTTGTTTTCAAATAATAGTGTCAATGGTGTGGTCGTTGAACATTTTATACTACCTTTATGCCTTTCTGTTTTAGAAACTGACACACAATCCAAAATGTAAATAAATTAATATATTATCTAAGCAATGTTTCCTGGCTAGTAAGTTGTCACTATGTAATTTAATATTTTGTAGATAAGTATTTCTTGATGCTTCTGTTCACATAGCAATAAATGAGTTTGATACAAGACATTTTTCCAATAAATATGTTGTTTACAAATAAGCCTTGTACTATATAGAGATTGGATAAAAATGTTTATAAACTTGAAATATAAATGCCTTAATTTTTGAAGTTCAAGTATATCATTTTTAGCTGGGAGTCAGATAGCTCCCTTTTCCGTTTTTTCTAACAGATTTTTCAATTGTCCAAAGCCTTTCTTAAGGTAAGAGGAATAAAAGAGTAAGTTGGGCTATCAAAATCTAAGAATTCTCAGGAATGGCAAGACCTGTCAGCCTACTATTGCAGTTACGTTTTAATGCCCCTATGGTGTGCCTAATGACAGCGTGTTGAACAGATTGGCAAGTGTTTTTTGACTGTGAAGTGAAACATCTGCTGATCCCGATTCTGTAAAAGCTGCAGTGGTTCACTCAGGCTTGAGCCTTACTCTTCCTAGTTTGTTAACTCCATTCACATGATCTGAGTAGAGCAGAGACTAGGGGGAGGCTTGTGACTTGCTAAAGTTAAAGGAGGCACTTGCTTTCACATTTCTTCAAGTCCCAAACCTCACTGTAGAGCTCTGCTGTTGATAGACAGTGTATACACAAATAGGCATGGCAAGAAAATTCGTCTTAATAAATATAAAGGAATACAAATCATCATATATGTTCCTCAACCCTTACAAAACTAAATTAGAAATCAACAACAGAATTGTTTGTGGAAATCTCCACATATCTGGAAATTATTATAAACAACAAATTTCTGAAATAACCTGAGAATAAATAAGAAAAAATTACAATGGGACCATATGAAAAATTATGAAATGTAGCTAAAACAGTGCTTAGAGGGGAGTTTATGGTTCTAAGTTTCTACACCAGAAAAAGAACTCTCCAATCAATATTTTTAGCTTCAACCTTAAACAAATGGGGAAAAAAAACACATTAAATACAAAGCATACAAACAAAAGAGAATAGTTTGCACAGAAATCATTAAAACTTCTTAGAGAAAATCAATGAAACAAAAAATTGATTTTTGAGAAAAACAAAATGGACAAATCTTTAGTCAGAATGAACAAGGAAAAAATACAAGAAAAGACACAAGTAAATAAAACCTGCATTGAAAGTGGGTACTCATTAATGACCACTCAAAATTTAAAAGGTTATTAAGAGATATTGTAAACAAAATTAGGCCAACAAATGTGACCAATTAGATGAAATAAATAAATTCCTAAATATATATAAATTACCAACAGTACCTCAAGAAGGAATACAAAGTCCATATAGATCTGCCAAATACTTAAGAGATTAGTACCAATCTTCACCAACTGGCACTAATCTCTTTTAAAAAGAGAAACAGAAAAAAATAAGAGAAAGGAAAACTTCTGAAGTCATGTTACCAGGCCAATATTATTACCCTCATATCAAAACCAAAGTCAAAGCTGCCACAAGAAAACTATTAATATCACTTGTGAATAAAGATAAAAAATCTCCACCAAAATATAAACAAATTGAATCCAATAACACATAAAAATATTTTTTCTGTTCTGATAAAGTACAGTTTTTCCCAGGAATTCAAGATAAGTTTAATATCTGAAATTCAATTAATGTAATATACCATATTAATATAATAAAGGGCAATGCCTATATAATCATCTCAATAGTTGCAGGAAAAGCATATCAAAATCTAACACCCATTCATTATAAAAACTCTCAACAAATTAGAAAGAGAAAAACAATCCCTCAGCCTGATAAAAAGCATCTATGACAAATGTCCAGGGAACATCATACTAAAGCTTTTCCCTGAAGAATTGGAAACAAGACAATGATATCTACTTTCACCATTTCTATTTAACATTGGAACATAGGAGGTTCCAGACTATTTGCTAAGCACACATATACTAACACAAGGACACACTGGTTGAAAGGAAAGCATAAAACTGTCTTTATTCACAAATGACATGATCTAATATGTAAAAAACCCTAAGGAATCCTCAAAATAACTACTAGCACTAATAACTGGGTTTATAAAGCTTTCAGACTACAAGTTAAAATACACGAGACATTTGCATTTCTATATATTAAAAACAGTATTTCAAAAATAAATTTAAGAAAGCAATTCTAGTTACAAGAGCAACAAAATGCTTAGATATTAATTTAACAAATAAATGCAAAACCTGAAAGCTACACAGCAATGCTCAGAGAAATGCAAAAATAGCCAAAGAAATGGAGATCTATTGTATATTCATTTATTGGAATTCAATCTTGATAGGATGGAAATTTTTCCCAATTTTATCTATTGATTTAACGAAATGCCTAATAATATTCCAGCAGGCTTTTGTGTAGAAATTGATGAGCTCATAGAAAAATTTATATGAAACTACACAAAGGATCCATAGAGTAGCAAAATGATTTTTGGAAAAAAAGAAGGAAAGGTTGAATGACTACCCAATTTCATAACCTACCATTTAGTTATATGCATTATGTGTTTGGTCAGTGGGTTATTGCACATAAAAATGCATATAAATCAGGAAAAAATAATTGACAGCCAGAAATCAACTTTCATATTTATCATAGGTGAGTTTAACAGTCATTACAAAATTAAACAAATAAGGAAAGGAGAGTCTTAAAAGAAAAAAGTGTCATAACATTTGTAAATGTATATGTGAAACGTATAAGTTAAATCATTAACCTATACCATATTTTAAGAAACTCAAATGAATTAGGAATCTAAATGTAAGAGCTAAAATTATAAAACATTTAATAAAATATATTAAAATGTCTTCATGATCTTGGGTTAGGCAAAGAATTATTAGATACCAGTTATATGACACCAAAATATATGATATAAAAATGACAAAATGGACTTAATCAAATAAAGGAAAAGTTGATAAATTGGAGTTTACGAAATAAAAACTTTTGCTATCCAAATGTCAACAAGTGAGAAAACGGGAAGGCTAGGCAAGGAGAAAATATTTTCAAGTCACATATATTATAAAGGACTTTTATTCATTATATACCAATAACCCACTAAAAGAATGCTGTCAATCATGAGAAAGCTAATAACACAATTTGAAAATAGTTAATATATTTACATAGACATTTCATTTGAGAAGATACATAAATGATTAATACACATATAAGAAGGTGCTCAAAATAATTAGTCATTAGGGAATGAAAATTGAATCCATAGCGAGATACCATTTATACATTCACTAGAATGACTATTATAAAGAAGACAGGCCATATCAAATGTTGGCAAGAATGTGGAGAAACAGAAATCTGACACATTGCTGGTAGGAATGTTAACCTGGCACAGTTACTTTGGAAAACAGTTTAGCAGTTTCCTAAAATGTTAAACATGAATTTTCCGTAAAACCCAGCAGTTCTACTCCTGGGAATCTTTTCAAGAAATATAAAAATGTATATCCCCGCAAATAATTGTATATGAATTCATGATTCATGAGAACCAAAAGTGAAAACAGATGTCCACCAAAGGATGAACGCATTAACAAAATGTTATATATATTGTGAATTACTCTTTACCAACTACCGATACATGATGCAACATGAAAATTCTTTAAAAACGTTGCTATGCAAAAGAAGCCAATCGCAAAAGACTGCATACTCCACGACACCTTTCTAATGAAATACCTGGAACTGGACTCAGGAACAAAGACTGACTACAAAAGAGCTCTTCTTTGGGTAATGGAATTGTGCTAAAACTGGATTGTTATGATGCTTGAGTAGCTCTCTACATTTGCAAAAGTTTGAATTGTAGAATTGTAGTGAATGAATTTTATAATATATAACTTACACTGCAATAAATTTGTTAAAGAAAAAAATTTCATAAACTCTAGAGAAATTTTCTGGAATGAGTTTTACTACATATGTATGTTCATTTTGTCTTTCCTTCCTTCCTTTTTTTTTCTTTCTTGTGTATGATTTTTTTTTAAGGTCCGTTTTGTGAGGTGTCAACAAAACCTTGTGTTTCTCTGCTTTGTTGGAAAAGAGGAATTTGTCCAAACAGCAGCTCTGCTTACACTTGTGAATGCCCAAAAGGATCTCCCAGTCAAAATGATGAAACTGATGTCAATGAGTGTTCATTAATACCATGCCAGAATGGCATTGACTGCATCAAAATATCAAATGTAAGTTTCAATCTAACATACAAATGAGTAGTTTTCAGGTTTTTTTTTTTACTATTAGCAAGCAATTTGAAAAGAATAAATAATCAAAGTTCTTACTAAGATAGTTTAATTTTTTATTATACTTTAAGTTCTGGGATACATGTGCAGATCTTGCAGGATTGTAACATAGGTATACACATGCCATGGTGGTTTGCGATCTCCATTCCCCTGTCACCTGCATTAGCCATTTCTCCAAATGTTATTCTCCCTAATTTCCCCACCCCCTGCTCTCCTTCCCCTAGCCCCTCACCCCCAACAGACCCCAATGTGTGATGTTCCCTTCCCTGTGTCTATGTGATCTCAGTGTTCAACACTCAATTATACATGAGAACATATGGTATTTGTTTTTCTGTTCTTGTGTCAGTTTGCTAAGAATGATGGTTTCCAGCTTCATCCATGTCCCTGCAAAGGACACGATCTCATTATTTTTTTATGTCTATATAGTATTCCATGGTGTATATGTGCCACATTTTCTTTATCCAGCCTGTCATTGATGGGCATTTGGGTTGGTTTCAAGCCTTTGCTATTGTAAACAGAATAAATAATCAAAGTTCTTATTAAGATAGTTTAATTTTTAAACTCAGAAAAAAAAGTAAGAAATATCGACTTATTTTAATTTTTCCTATTTATGTAAAAACAATTTGCTCTTCCATCATTATTCTCCCTTTTAAAATAATATAAATTTGTATTCTCTTCATTTTTACTTATTGCTTTAATTTTTTATCTTTTAGTTATTTAATATTGTTTAACTTTTCCACTTAACATTTAAATAAATAAGAGTAGGAAATAATTTATTAGTTGTTTTTATGAATTACTATCTTTTCATTTTAGATTCATATTTGTTATTAACTCTTTAAAGAACTTTGTTCATTTTTCCAACCTCCTAAACTTTTTGTTACTAACACTCTGAAATTTTTTCCCTGGAGAACTGTTTATTTTATTTAAAAAGTTGCTGAACTTTTGTTGAGAAGAATTAATTAAATTATATAGAACATAATATACAGATAAAAGCTTATAGAATAACATTTTTTACTCCACCTGAAATATCTTCTACAATTTCTTTTGCAATTCTAAAATGGTAATAAATTCAAAGATTTGTTATCAATGTACAATACATTAGATCCTAATATTGGGATATACAAGGACAAAGAGCGATAATACATGTTTCGTCTACAAATCAGAAAACTATTATTGTAGTAGGCAGACTATGCCTCTCATCCTCCACCAAAAAATAAAATAAAAATAAAATAAATAAACATATCCATGCCCTAATCCTGAGCATATGTGCATATGTTATGTTATCCTAGCAGGAGGAAATTTAGATTGCAAATGAAATAAAGACTGCTAATCAGTTGATGTTATCCTTGATTGTTTGGGTGGATACAGTGTAATCACAAGAGTTCTTTAAAGAAGAAAAGAGAGATGGAAGGATCAGAGTTAAAGGAGGATTTGATGATGCTATGAGGCTGGTTTTAAAGATGAAAGAAGGGACCATAAATGAAAAAATGAGTACAGCCTCTAGAAGAATAGAGCCTACAGAAAGGACACAACAGACATCTTGGTTTTAGCCTTTGGAAATTTTTCAGACTTATGACCTCAGGAACTCTAAGATAATGAATTTTTTGTTTCTATTAGCTACTAAGTTTGCAATAATTTGCTATATAAATTAAAAAGTTGTTATATAAATAGAAAACTAATACAATAATCTATCAAGAACTATTAATATTATCATTTAAAATATTTTGGTTTTAAACTTGACAATAATGAACAATTAAACACATTCTATAACTTTACTAGTTAAATGAATCTTAATATAAGAAGCAACCTTTAATGGATATGTGCTTAACTGTTAATTCATAGAAGTACTTTAATTCCATTTTGCTTATTTCTCTATTATTTATTATTATACTTGAAAGAATTATTTTGTAGATACATGAGTTAGAAGGTAGTACATTTTATCATTTGTACCACTGCTATGTATCACCTTGGGCAAACTATATATTTCTTTCAACATTAGTTTTGGATTAAATTAAATAAATTTGATTGGATTTCATGAGAAAAAAAGAACAAAATTATCAATTTTAAGTATATGGACTTCTCACCTTGGAATCACTTAATAAATTTTGTTCAGATAAATATGATAATGAAAATCATGATACTGTAATGATGATGGTGATGATAATGATAATAAAGAAAAAAGAGGAAAAAAGGAGGACAAAAAGAGACAGAAATATGATGACTAAGGTGTATTTCAAATGCAGGTGAAATTAACTTGCCCATCAAATTTAATTTCATTTTGTTTTCACCTGCCCATAGATGCCTGGACCTAGTTCATGTTCCAATTGTCTATTTTCTGTGCTTAAGCACCTGGAAATTGGCAGCTTAAAATAATTATTTTCTTATTATAACTTACGGTTCTGTGAGCTGACTTGTCTCAGCTAGGACATTGTTTAGAGTCCCTCTGAGGTTGCTATCAGAAAGTGTCCAGAGTTGGACTTCATCTTAATGTTGCCCGTTAGCTGGGCCCTCAACTGGGCCTATCTGCCACAATCCTGAACATGATTTCTCTATGTGGCCTGCGCTTCCTGAGAGTATGGTGGCTGGGTTCAAAGAGCAAGCAGCCTAAGATAATTTGGCAGAATCTTTATAGCCTTTTGAAGCATCATTGTCTCTTTGATCACAATCTTGCTTCCATTCAAGAGGAAGGGAATATAGTCCCTGATTCTTAATGGGGGAGCTTTGACTTCACATAGCAGGATTAGTGTGTGAGATAGAGGCAGTGTTGTGACAGTTTGGAAAATAGAATCTGCCAAATTGCTGACAGAGAATTTCTATTCCAAGTTCATGAAAATAATTTTCACCCCTCTCTAGGTAAGAACCCATTCATTGTCCTTGAAATATCCAAAATCCTTTGTAAAAATATGTTTTTAATCTTTTCTAGGATGTTATGTGCATCTGTTCACCAATATTTACAGACATGCTTTGTAAGAGCATTCAAATGTCATATGAGTCATTCCCTTTGAAGAATACCACTATTTGTAAGAAATGTGAGAAAGAGGATCATTGCAGGTATAATTAATTTTCTGTTTATTTTTAATATAAGATAAATAGATTTTTAAATCATGTGAATAAAAACATAATGATGTTCTGGTTTTAACCTTGTCATTTACTTAATGGTATGTAATATTCCATTTTAAGTTAAAGTACTTTTTTTTGCATGTTTTGAGTTAACTGTTGTGGTATTAATTTAAAATAGATATTTGAGAAATTCACAAATATAATTTGGGTGTACAGTTACAAAATGAATATTTTGTTTCATAAAAGATGTTTTAATATAATCAAATAATATTAGAAGGTCTAGAAAGAAAAGTGAGATATATGTCTCCTTAGTATTATTTCTATTATACAATTATAATGTTGAAATATTTTAAAAGAATAGTGTAACTATGTCTTCCTATAATTCACAGACCCCAGCAGATAGATATTAGTTAGGGTCTTTAGGTGGACTTTTAGAAAATCATTCTTTCTTTAAGTAATAATTTCCCACAAATTACTCACTTATAAATGGCAGAAGTGACCCAAATATCTGGGCATATAATTTGGTCAATTTTAAATAGCTTTATAGACATTTTCTCGCACTATTAAGAAATACAATTTGTACTCTTCACACTTGCTTGACTTTTATCTGGCTGGTTAAAGTAAATTCTGTTGGACATTATTGAAAAGCAGTAGGTAGCCTCAAAATTTTAGAATATTCATAAAAGCAGAAAATTAAAATGTGGGGCACAGAATATCCTTGAAACACACTGAAAAGAAACTTAGAATATGTGTCCATATCACACTGTACGATAATCTGTTTCAAAGGAGTTCAAATTTAAGGGTTTTTTTTAAATTAACCTTTTGAAATGTGACTTTTTCAAAAGAATTGAATAGAAACCTTGTCATTATATCAAGATATTGAAATCTCTAACTCATTTAGTTAAATTTATGCATGCCTTCAATCATGTATTAACTCTTCAATAAGCCTAAATGCTATCCCTTTAAAAATATTTACTTTTTAATTTACATTTCTATTTCTATGTCTTAATGTACTAGTATATTTGTGAATGTACTTAGAAAAGTGACCAACTTAAAAAAATTGATAAATATCCTCCTCAAACTTACCACTGATTAAAAAATACTAATTCTGACTCAGGTGATATAATGGAGATATAATCAATATTAAGTATGAAGTTAAAGCAATGACAGGAAATTAATCTTGAAATCTATTTTTCTGTTCTCATAGGAGACAGGGAATATTAGTGAATATAACAATAAAAATAAAAATGACAACTTAAATGCTTTTCTGTTAAGGATTTATCTCTGTTACTAACTTAGAGAGTATGTTTTCCTATATCAATGACTCTAACACTTTGAAATTAGAACTTCTTGAAGAGCTAAAGTACAAATAATTGTTCATTGTCTTTAGTGTTTTTAATTCAATGGGTCTGTGGTGAGGATTGCAAATGTACATTTCTTACCAAGTCATAAGAGATATTGATGCTCCTGATCTGGAGACACTACACTTTGAGAACTTAGTCAAGATGAGCTTGGGCTTAAACAACATCAGTGCAGGAATTGTCTTAAACCTTCCACCTAGTTTCACTAGTCTTTTACACTGACGTTTTATTCTTCTGAATTTTGGATAAAAACACATTAAGGTGAAAAGGAATTAAATGTGGAAAGGAGAATAGAGTGATTATGATGATATCAGTTTCCCTGCCTGAATATATGGCGTAGACCTAAATTTCTATGGGTAGATGAGAGAGAAACCGAAGTAAAATTATCTCCGTGAGAAAGACAGTGATACACTGGTTATGGGAATTTTTACTTGGTACCCAGTAACATACATCAATACAGTTAGAAAGAAATTAATTTTCTCTTAATATACAAATCAGCAAATTCCTTACCACCTAGAAGGTAGAGTCTGATAGGAAAGGAAAAGTAATAATTGACATCTTAGAGGTATCTGACAGGTAGAATACAACTTTAGTGACTCTTAAATTATTTAAGAACGGTTTGTTTGTTTTGGGGAATACTTTGGTTAATAATTTGAAAATAAAATGGAATTTGTGAGCTACAGTAATCGCTATAAATGATATATATATATATATATATATATATATATATATATATATAGAGAGAGAGAGAGAGAGAGAGAGAGAGAGAGAGAGGGAGATAGAGAGATGGAGTATCACTTTGTCACCTAGACTGGAGTGCAGTGGCATGATCTTGGCTCACTACCGTGGCAGAATCTTGGGTCGCTGCAACTTCCGCCCCCACGTTCAAGCGATTCTCCTGCCTCAGCTTCCTAAGTAGCTGGGACTACAGGTGTGTGCCACTGTACCTGGCTAATTTTTTTATTCTTAGTAGAGACAGGGTTTCACCATGTTGGCCAGGTCTTCAACTCCTGACCTTGCGATCTACCCGCCTCGGGCTCCCAAAGTGCTGGGATTACAGGTGTGAGTCACCATGCTGGGCCACAAATATTTTAAAAAGGATACCTTACCAGTATTTGGTTGGTAGTTTAGCCATTCAAATACTAGGAATTCCTAGAGAATTTCTCTCACTCTTCTCTAGCATTACTGCTCTCCATCTATAAAAGTGAAAAAATTTTTCACCCCTTACTTGCTTGTTTGGCCCTATAAGATAAATTTTTTTCAAGGTATATTCAGCACTTTTGCATGTTGATACTTTAACCATTTGGAAGAAACCCTGCACTTAACACTGAATCTCCTAGTAGCGGTTTTAAAGGGAAATGAAACAGTCACACTCTACAGTGACACTAAGAAACTGTATTGCAACATGTAATTGTGCAACTGGAGATCATCTTGCAACCATGAAGTCCAGCAAGGAGGCAAAACCAAAATAGATATAGAGCTGAAAGGATTAAAAAGAGAGCAGAGAGCCAGAACAATGATCAAATTCTCTACGAAGAAGGAACTATCTATAGTTAAACAATATGAGCTAATAATCCTTTGCATTGGTTTTGTCTGAGTTGGGGTTATGTTATTTACATCTGAAAAGTTTCCTAGTAAATATACCGAAACCCTTTACAAACCACTGAGTTATATTGCTCACATATTTTAAATGGTTAATCTTTTGCCATACTAGTAGTTTTATTGCTCACTCAATTATTAATTATCTACTAGAAGAAAATCAAGTATTTGTAAGATTGCTGACTACTTCATAAAAATGATCGTGATTTACCATAAAAATCTTTTCCACTGTAATGTACTCAAAAACAATGTGTTTTATCCATTCTGTATTTCTAAATTATTTTACTATGCTACTTATAGAATATTTTCTAACTTATTTAATTTACTATATAATTGGTTTATAATAATGTTTTGGATCTTACTGATTGAAGTGGAAGGTTTCGACTCCGGCCATGACATGAAATGACTAATTTATTTATTAATTTAATAAATATTTATTGAGTACTTACTTTTTCAGAAACTTTCCTACTCTAAGTAAAACTCTTCTGCAGCCATAAAAAGGGCAGAAAAAAAACATTAAAAAGACAAAAAGTTGTTTTCATAATAAACTAACATTCTATTCCACAAACACTGCTTTAAATGATCACTCTGACTCAATTTTATTGAATAGAGTGTTGGTGTATGCTCCCAAGGGAAGGGAGACCAGCTAGAAAGCTGCTATGATTATGTAGCCTAGAGCTGGTGGTGACTGACACTGCCTTACTTAAGATCATCAAGACAACTTGTGATTAGGGTAATTAAGGATCAGATCCAGAATACAGTTCTAAGAATAATTCAATCTTTTGCTGAAGGATTAGATAGGAAGTAACAGAAATAAGTCAAGGGTAACTCTAAGGTTGTTTGCTCAATTGAAAGGTTGGAAAATAAACCTAAACAGGTTTCTAATATCATTTACAAAATGGAAGAATCTGTAGAAAGAAATGCATGGTTGGCAGGAGTGGAAAACAAGATGTCAGTTTTGAACATGTTGGACAAGACATCTAATAGAGCCAAGTAGAGATATTGAGGTAGGTATTCAAGTACGTTTCCATTTTAGAGGAACTATCAGGTCTAAATATATAAATCTGGAAGCCAGTACCATAGACATGACGTTTAAAACCAGGAAGCTTGCTGTAAAGAAACCTTTTAGTTTAATTACATTCCATTTTTCTCTATTTTTGTTTTTGTTGCATTTCCTTTTGAGAATTTAGCCATTAATTCTTTGCCTAGGCCAACATGTAGAAGTGTTTCTCCTAGGATTTTTATAATGACAGGTCTTACATTTAAGTTTTTAATCTAACTTGAGTTAATTTTTGAATGTGATAAGAGATAGGGGTATAGTTTTATTCTTCTGCATATAATTCTTTATTTTTCCCAGCACCATTTATTGAGTAGGATGTTCTTTTCACTGCATATTTTTGTTGACTTTGTCAAACATCAATTTGTTGTAGGTATGTGGCTTTATTTCTGGATTCTCTATTCTGTTCCATTGATCTATGTGCCTATTTTTATACCCACACTGTGCTGTTTTGGTTATTGTAAACTTGTAGTATAATTTTAAGTCAACAGAGTAAACAGCCAACCTACACAATAGGAGAAAACATTTGCAAGCAATACATCCATCAAAAGGCTAGTATCCAGAATCTACAAGAAACTCAACACCTCAGCAAGAAAAAAATGAAATAACCACATTAAAAAGCCAGTAAAAGGCATGAACACCTATTTTAATTTAATTTAATTTAATTTGATTTTACTTTACTTTAAGTTCTGGGGTACATGTGCGGATCTTGCAGGATTTTTACATAGGTACACACATGCCATGGTGGTTTGCTGCCTCCATTCCGCCATCAGCCACGAAGGCATTTCTCCCAATGTTATCCCTCCCCAACCTTCCCACCCCCTGCTATGCCTCCCCTAGCCCTGACAAGTTTGTGCCACATAAAAGTTTCTCTGGATTGCTTCTACAAATGATGTTCTTGCTTTTTAGCCCAGACCTCAGCAATAATATTGCAACGCTGCATTCAGACAGAGTTTTTAAAGTCCAACATCTAT